GGGGTTCCCCATGTTGAAAGAGACTGAAAAAGGCTGCCTTAGATGTTAGCATGTGTTCAGAAGAGCATGTCAACCCAAGGTTCATCCATTATGTTCAGTCACTGTATTTACAGATATTTAGAAAGCAGAATCACGTAGACATTTTATCAATCTTCTGCTTAAGGAACATTCATTGTGAAGACCTTGACAACATAAGACAATTTTTAGCTCACAACCTTTTCACACTGTTGGTGTTACAGTGACATGTTCAGGGACAAAATATCTATGTGCCACGCTTCCATCTAAACCAGTCAGCAGATTATCGCAGTGAGCTGAACTTATTCACACCCTACAAGTGACACTGACGCCAAGCCCTACATAATTAGCAGTTAAAATTTAACTTTTTTCCCCCCTTCTTTTACATAAACTCAATTATTTTCCACACTGTGTAACATTTTATATCGCCAGTCAAGCTCTTGCATCTTTAAACATTTTGCTTTGCACAATTTTTTTTTTTTCAATCATTATTTGTAAACCGTTAAAAAGATTTTACAATTTTCAGTCTAATAAGTAAACAAAAAAAAGAAGAATCGTAAAGATTGTCAAGTTTAATGTCCAATTTATTTTTTTTTTTTTTTTTTTTTATAACTTGAAAATTGGAACAAGCTTTGTTTTTTTTTTTTTTTGAACGAGCGTACAAATGAAATGAAAGACACATGCTGAACTCAACAATGTGACAGTACGGTAAAGAAAGACCATATTCTTGTACAGATAAAAGAAACAATAAATATTTTCACCTAGCCATGTTGAAAAGACCTCTAGCCGTCCCAACATTTTATCCATAATAATAATAATTAAAAAAAAAAGTGCTCTTGTTTTTAAAACAGAGCGCATATTCCAAGCAATAATAAATAGTTTCAAACTTGTAGTAAAAGACAAACCTCCAAAACAACAAAAGCTCATACAATAATAGAAAAAGGTAATAAAAAATATTTCGCCTTGCCGTACAAATGCTAACAACTTAATTGACATTAATTTTGCTTTGCAGTTCTGAAAATACAAAGAGCACCATAATGACGCCTGCAATACACAAAATGACGGACTGTCTTATCATGGGCTGTGATGAAACGCTGGTGACCACTAATAGAAAGTAAATTCAACTCGGGACAATGGGAGATCTTGCTTATTGTGCTTGTATTTTGATTTCCAGGTCATGGAAGAGGGAAAATTCATTCTAATTTAATCCAAAAAACATCTCATTTGTGCTTTTTGAATTGGTTTGACTTAAAATGATTTCAATCAACATTTTTTTAATCTGGAACTATAGGCATGGAGTACAACGTACCCCCTATCGGTCAGGAATTATTTTCTGCATTTGCTGGTGAAGTGTACAGATATTCTAAATTTTTACCTTCCGACCTCTCGAAATACCCACAGTTTACCTTGGGTGGTAGTTTTGGGTTGGCCTGTATAGGAAGAGGTTGCAAAGTCAAAACAGCACGAAGATGTCAATTTAGAATTCCCAATATTAAATATGAATAGGGAAGGAGCAGGATTTCATCTCAGCCCATCAAACATTCAGGAACTTTATGGAATGTACAAAGAGCAAAGCAGACGCTAAATGGATTGGCAAGAACTGGGTTTGGGTTAGGTCCTGTTCTAACGGGATCAGATGACTGTGCCTGGACCGAAAAACTGTTTACAAACAGCTTTGTGTGTAATATCGATTAACAAGTTTGTGGTATTAAGGGCACCGTGGGGACAGGGAGGTTGGGGGAGGGGAGGGTAGGAAGATTGAGAATAATTCTCTAAAACAGGTTTTCCTGGAATTATCACAGGTGTACTGCATGTGGAATGTTCCTGTAAAATTTTATACAAAAATTGAGATAATATCTTACATGGGTATCTAGTACTAATTAGTCAATACCTGCTAAGGCCTTGATACAAGGTCCAGGCACCTTATGAATTGTTACATCCCTGCATGAACAGTACTCTATTTGTAGGCCCAATCATGAAAAGAATGCACAACTAATATTTCTGGTGAACAAAATATTTAAGACTTTTTTTTTTTGTTTCAATTACCCAGAAGCTGTTAAACAACTTCATTGTGTTTTTTTTTATTTTCTGTACATTAGGACTTAAATTACAAATGTTTATTTGTTTTCTTTTTTTTTTTTTCTTTTTTTATATTTTATCCTGCCAAATTAAAAAAAAAATATATTATGGCAGCATGTGTTTTTTTTTCAAATCCACTAACAAAAAGGTACATTTAATCCTTTTAAAAGGACAAGCGTACAGTTAAAAAATTACAAGCTCCGGTAAAAATACAGCAAGTGCCTACATCATGTGAACCAATCAATATCAATATCCATTCCAGAAGGGGCGAGGGGTGGGAGAAGATAAAAGAAGGAAATTAAGCACAGTTCAGAAACGTGATTTTTTTTTTCTCTGCAAAGCAATAACAATATTAAGCACTTTTTTTCTACTTACTTTTTCTACATGGTGTAGCAATCACCTTTTATTCCCCAAATACAAGTTTCTATACAGTTTGAAATAAAAAATAACACCCAGGCAGGAAAATAAGTACTAAAACTCAGACTTTACAATTACAGTGACAAGAACAATGTTATAGACCCACCATTAAAGTTTTTTTTTTTTACTGCAACTTTTTTTTTCAAGGAATTTTTTTTTCTGGTTTTGTAAAATGCCCAGGCATTCTCCATTATTACAAATACTGGTCCACTTTTACAGTAATCAAGAAATTTTAATATATATAATATATACTAAAACCCCGTCACCAAAAGAAAAAATATTATAAAATAAAAATAAACAATATACACATGGCCATTATGGCATTTTATAACCTATTAAGCAACTTTGAAAAGAAATGATCGTCCAAACACACATACACACAATTATTTCTTATTTTTTTTTTTTTTTTAACCCTTGTACGTATTGAATACTGTAAACGTATTTTAAGACAGAGTGCACTAAATTTACCGTAAAAAAAAAAAAAAAAAAAAAAATAGCCGTTGTTCCTGAATTGTTTTTTTCCCCATTCAACGATAACTGGTATGTTGTGTCATTTCTTTTTCAATTCAGCAGTAAATATTTTTCATTCCGTTTTCTAAGCAGCGTTGTCCTGAAAAGAAACACAGCTGACAATAAATCAGCTTAAGAAGGTTCAAACTTGTGCTGAGTAAACATCTTCGTTAGATTGGGTCTTATGGCAATATTGTGTCCACTATGGTCAACCAGATTTTTTTTTTCTATACGTAAATGTGGCTTTTTGTTTTGTTTTTTGTTGTTTTTTTTTAAAGAAATGTAAATTTCTTGTATTACTATTTTTAAAAGTTCTTTTTTTTTCTTTCACAAAAATGTTTTGCATTTTGTCTCAAGAGACTCACATAGGAAGATCAGTTTTCAAGGCACTCACAAAAAATCGAATGGCAGTAGACAAACCGTCCAATAAATTATATATATATATCTTTTATAGTGCCAGCATTGTGAATGCCATGCTTAGCAACACTGGCACTTAATCTCAGGTGTTCCCTTATTGAATCCAACCCGCCATTGGGTTGCGCAGGAGAATAGGCTGTAATTTCTTGTTCAGAAGCCATGGAAAACATAGAAACTCAACTTTTAAAGTGCGGTCAACAAAATTAAAATGGGTAACCTTTCGTTCTCAGCTGTCCTCCTGATGCACGCAAAGACAAAAAAAGAAAACAAAAATGGAAAAACGATCTTAAAAGCAAATGTCATTATCATTGGAACGTTCATTATTTAAAATAAATAACATTCGAAAATTCATAGTCCACAATATTTTGAAATAAGCAACCAATTACAATGACATAACTCGTACTGAACTGTGTCGATGACCCTTCAGCTTTTCAGCACTGAGTGAATTGCAGGTGGCTTCAGTGGGTAAAGTTTTAACAGTGCATCTTTAACCATTTGCTTGCCAAGTGGCCTGCACCACACTCCTATGAGAAGGGAGCTGCAGGAACACTTCAGCAGCAAAAAAAAAAAAAAAAAAAAGGACATGTAGGAGACTGCATTCAAAGCAGGATATTTCTCAATGCTGTGCCTCTCAAAATATTTCCAAATGTATAGACAGTAGAATAGGAGATGCATTAAAAATAAAAAAAAATAAAAAAAATGCAATGGTGCAGACAATGGATTGTGATTTGCACACTTATGATTCTCTCAAGTATAAAGTTCCTCAAAAATTTCAGGTTGCATTTTAACTGTTGCATATGAGATCCTATCATGCAATATAAGTGCTAAGATTTTAAAGATTGTAATCCGCTGCGTAAATATTCTATCTGACCCCATTTAAGTAATGGCAAGATAAATTAAAAAAAAAAAAATTTAAATATTTAAAGAAAAAGAAAATAACAGAAAAAAGCTGATGGCTTCTTTTCAAGAAATTACAAAGGTTTAGCTTAAATTCCAGAAATGTAGCAGCCCAAAATGATAATTTAAGATACAATTCTCCACTACTAGGACAAACAGGCTACTACTCAGATAAGTGGGGTATGGGTTTGGGAAATAATGGGGGATTTGGGGGGGAGGGAGGTGGGATTAACCCTCTTTGTCCTGCAGGGGGGCTGAAATTTATTGTTACATAAAAATTTGCTGGTCCCTGCAACACAAGAGAGGTTTCAAGGTTTGTTTGTTTTTTAACAAGGATGCACAACAACAAAAACAATCTTAAAAAAATATAGAAAGAAAATCAAACAGCAAAAAAAAGTACCTGCACATGCCAAAAATGACAAATAAAACCCAAATAAATACAGAAATTATTGCACAGTTAAAAGGCTCCAAAAGTTTTACTGCCTTATTCAACCCTCAGGTTTAAAAAAAGAACTGCAGACACAGGTTGTATTTTTAGTGCCACTTTTTGACACCTAACATGTTTACGCTAAGTTATGTTTAAGGAGGCAAGTTAATTCAGCTTTTTCTCAGTTGGCAATAGTTAAATCTGTACAAATTAAACTGATTAAACCCATCTAGGGGCCTTAGCTTCTTTCTGCCTGCTCAATTTTCACGTCATTTGTCAGCAAGTGTTCTCCGTGCCACTTTTTCATGTGTTTTTCCAGGGTGCTGTAAACACTGAAGGGCATCTGGCAAATGTCACAGCGGTACACCTCCTTACCTATCTGGCCATGTGTTTTCATGTGGCGCGTCAGCTTGCTGCTCTGTGCACATGCATAGTTGCAGAGCTCACATTTGTAAGGCCGTTCCCCTGTGTGGCTCCGGCGATGGACCGTGAGGTTGCTGCAGTTCTTAAATACTTTGCCACAGAACTCACATGTGTCACTCCTTCTCCCTTCTTTAGAACTGGGTCGACCGGGGCCTGGTCCACCGATGTGAGGTGTACTGCCCCCCGCTCGCTGTCCCACTCCGCCCTGAGAGACCCCCGTCCAGCATGTCACCTGGTGGAGTGGAGAACCGCAGGCTGCCATTTTCTGAAGAGTGTTCAGAAGAAGTTGCAAAAGGGGATTGTCGAGAGTCCGTGAATCCTAGAAATGGATCTTTCATGAAGTGCCGTGATGCTGCATATCCAACCAGCCACTGCGAGTAAACGTTTTCGGAAGGAATTATCGTTGCTGGTGGTAAGTCTAAGTCTTTTTTCTATTTTTATCCTTTTTGAGGAGTTATTGAGACCAGAGCCAGAGATGGGCATGGGTTTTCGAGGGAGCAGACCTGGAAAGGGTTCACCTGAGCCAAAGCTTCTTCCATTGATAGCCCCTTCTTCATTCCGCATAATTTCTCTTTCATCGCCATCTTCTTCACCCGGAATTCTCCGTTATAAATTATTTAAATAATTATAATAAATATATAATAATTAATAAATTTAAATTAAAATAATTATTTAAAATAAATAAATTTTTATATTATTAATAATAAAAATAATTAATTTTTAATAATTTTAAATAAATAATAAAAATAAAAATTAATATTTATTTAAAATATAATAAAATAAAAAATTAATAAATTAATTATTTATTAATTTATAAAATTTTTTTTTTAAAATAATAAAAAAAAAAAAATTTAATTAGCATAAATCTCGTGGGTCAGAAGACCGTTTCATGAAATGACTTCTTTTCTGTTTGTCATTGAGCATGTCATTATATTGCTGCATGCTTCCCAAGTTTACATTCTCCATCACTTTGCCAAGCACAAGGGCCTTCTCATCATGTAGAGGCTTGGCCCCATTTTCCCGGTTACGACTCATTTCTGAGTCCATACTGAAACTTGACTCTGGTCTACTTTCATTTTCCAACTCCTCCTCCTCTTCTTCTTCCTCCTCTTCTTCTTCTTCGTTTTCATGCCCCAAAGAGGGGTCACTCTCATTCCTAAAATCTGTCTCATTGGACTTCCCCCCTTCTCCAGTTAACTCACTAGTACCTGGCTCTGGTGAGCTTGTAGCAGACAGTCCATCGTCAGACCTGCCAGTCATGGAACCGGCTTTGTGCATATGCGTTTTCATGTGGCGTTTTAGTTTGCTTGCCTGTGAACATGCGTGGTCACACAGCTGACATTTATAAGGTTTTTCCCCGTGTGACTACGACGATGGACTATGAGATTGCTCTGGAACTTGAATGTCTTCCCGCAGAACTCACAGGACTTGCTCTTGGCCTGGGTTTGTGGTGGCGTTGTACTGCTTGGGGGCATGGGTGGCAGTGGCGGGGTACTCAGAAAAGGGGATTTAGGGCTTGGCTGGAAGGGATTTAGTAAGCGATGCATAGGATTACCACGGTTTGGAGACACTGGAGGAGGAGTGGAGTTGTTCCCTGCCAGTTCTCGTAGCCTTCGGGAAAAATCCATTGCTGGAGATTCAATTGCCATTGGATTTAAACGCATAACTCTGTCAAAGGCACTGGGATGCTGGGCAACTAACCCCATTTCTTCAGCACTAAGGCGGTGCGGGTCCAGATGATGGCGAGGGGGTGGGCTAAAGAGTGGCGGTGTGTTTGGTAGCCGAGTCTCACCGAAGGCTGGATGTTCACGTAGAATGGGTCCAGTCATTCGTAGAAGGTTGAAGGGGTTGCTGTCTCCAAGGAAGTTCATCAGGGGGGATGGTGCAACAGTCTCCGGTCCCAGAGGTGGGGGGATAGTAATTCGGGGTGTAAGAGAACTACTCGTTGGGCTGGTCTCCAGGTAGATGCGAAATCCATGTGTGTTTTGAGCATGCTGAAGCAGGAACCAGGCGCTATTGAAAGGCTGCTTACACGTTGTGCAAATATAGCTGGTAGGCTCGTCTTTACCTGCAAGAAAAGAGAACATCATTAATTAAACTGGTTTTTTTCGAGCACATCAAAAATGTCTCTCATGTAATACATTTACTAATATCCTTAACAATTACAAAGGTTTGAACAAATCCCAGGGAGCAGTTAACCAATAAATCTTAAGATTTATAGCTGGCACCTAACTTTTTAGAACCCAAAATGGCTAAACGTATGTATCCATATGGAATCCTGATGCATATATTTGTCTTTCCCTCACACTTGTGATGTGTCGGTTTAGAGTCTCTGGAGTCATAGTGTGAAGACGGCTAGGAACTCTCCTTATGTCAGTGCTGATTGGATCAACACTGTCACATGGAAGAAATGATATGCTCTGCCATACCTGGAAGTACCAGGTATTTCCTTCAGCGGATGGAACCAACAAGGGTGTGAGGGATAGTTAGATGAATGCTGCTGGAGATAGTGGTATTAAAGCAAATCTGTTGTTTTGCCCTAAACAAGCAAAGCACAATTTTGCTTTAAGAAGACAAACAGGTTCATTTTAACATTCAAAAACATCATTGTTTCACCGTGAATTTCAGCAATTTTTTAAATAAATTATGTAGCCTTGTGACTTTATCATTTCTGCTATTATCCTCATACACCATAGCTTGCTGCTAAACACAGAAGTAAATGTTTGCCAATAGACTCATATCACCCTCTTATCAGCTCGGTGCTGAGATGAATATGTGCAAAGAAAAAACAATTCCTGATCAATATACTTCACCTAAACACATTTACATTGATTTTTTAATATACTGCAATTGCGCAGAGAATGGAACAATGGGGCTCAGCTGAGCCCAACATTACGGCTTATCTGTTACTAAACGTCTATACTTGTCACTAGATTTATTTTAGATCATTCACAATGACAACGATTTGCTGTTCAGAGAGGATTATGGGATGCTTTCCACTGTCAACAAATAATGCTGCTTTGGAGGACCAAGACACAATGCAGACTATGAAAAGAAATAATGTAGAGGATGTAAATCAAAGGGGTTCACCAGGAAAGAGCTAAAATCTTTTTGCTCATGTAAGGAGCACGTTTAGTGATTTAGAGCTTATGTTGGCTTCTATAGAAGAGAAAGAGCTTGGTGTGGGTATCTATATATGCACCTCCCCTTACGAGCTGCTTCTTTGACTGACTTCAGATAAGGGGCCAGATCTCACATAGCCATTACTTTTCCAGTGAAAGTCAATGAGCTGAGAGCTGTGAATCACTGAACTGATCCTGAATTTGTGCTTGCCTTCTTTGGTCAGTGGACATTCAGACCTTTGTATTAAAATGTAACATCTTTAATACCCCTGCTGCTGAACAATCAATACACCAGCTGTCTTGGTTGTGTCATGGCTGCTGCAGGAAGCTGCACTGTCACTTACAAACAAGTTTATTGTAGAAGGGGGCAAAATCAGTTCATACTTAACCCAGAGCAGAGTTGGTTATGGATAGCTATGATTTCACCTCCCCTAATGACCAATCTGTCTTCCCTTGGCTGATTCCAGAGAAGAGCTCAGAATGCCTCCCACAGCCCCTAGCTTGCTGGCCGGGAGCCTTCTCAACCAGAAGAACACAATGATCACTGTTATTGGCTATAGATACCGGCAGTGATCACATGTAAAAAATTCGACAGGCTGGTTGTACTGAAGTCAATCGATGGATAGACTTCAGTACAACCAGCCTGCCCATAGACCTGGCCAAGCTGCTGACCTGGCCAAGATTTGATCCATCTACAGCCGGCTTTATTGAACAGACTCTCAGTTCATACATGACCAAGTCCAATGTTTGGTTTGAGTATCTTTTGGCTGTATCTTCCCTAATGACCATTTTCTTGGCTACTTTTAAAGTATGGGCTCAGTCTTCATGCAGCCCTTATCTCTCCCATAGAAGTTAATAGGCTAAGAGGTTCAAATCAGTGAGAAAAATTTATTTGTGAGTAAATGGAAAGAATATGTGGTGCTTAAAAATTCTGAACCTTCACTACTTCAAGCCTTTTCGATGACCCTCTTTCCACCCACCCAAGTTGTGTCTTGGCTGATACAGTTCTGGTGGTCTGGGCCATATCTGACATTGGAAAACAAGGTATCTGAACCTGGCATTGTACAACCTGATCTTCAAAATGCAGAAACCCCGAGCAACAAACTGCCAAAAGTTATAAACTCACCAAATACGTGGCTGTGTCTTACTGAACACCCTTGCTGTTTGTAATGCTTTGTTAACTGAGCCAAAAAAGAGCGCTAAACTGTCATTCTATACAATAACATAATTTGGACAGAGGTAAAAACTTTGAAGGGGAGTTAAAGTCAGGCGTTTATAGCCCTCGGTTATATCCTGGCAGCGTATCTTAGAGTATGTCTTGAAGATGTACTGTAATTAATCACTATGATGTCACGGCTAACACAGTCTGCATTTATTCTCCCAAATATACCGTATGTTCAACGCTTAGCCCAGAAGCTGCAGGGACTTGTATAAACACGAAGAGTTCCATTCAGGTAAACCAGGATTACCGCGGCTATTTAATTCAACTGAACTGGTCGTTTTTAAAATGACAGGCCTGCTCACAATCACTTGCTGGGGCACGCTGACAAGAATTTGACCTTTCTTACCTGATGTCTCCTGATCATATAACACAAGAGACACATGACTGTACTTTGTATACGGGCTTCTGAGAATGTGACAGCACAGAGTTCATCTGATAGAGTCTTAAAGAGCAAAAAAATAAATAAAATAAAATAAAACTACTAAAACTTCTGTATTCTGGAAGCACTGCAACTGTCAAGAGATTTCCTCAGTTAACCAAAATTCTGTAAAATTCACTGCAGCTAGATTTTAGGATGATCCTCCAGCACTGCTGTTATATGAATATGTATTGAGAAATGTCCATCTCTCTTTGACAAATATATCAAAGATTCTCCAATGGGTAGAGTCAAGGACACCTGATATGCATGAATTAATCATTTAAAAAGAACCTGTTGCCAGACCATTAGTTTCAACAGAAATCTACCAATAAGATTATATGTGCACTTAACATATTTTATTTATGCTATTTACCTTTAAAAGTCCCTCTGCCACTGTGCGCCACCATCTTAGATGTGAGGTCAGCAGCTCCTGAAGACTCACTTAAATGACATTCTATAGCAGCTGTTCTCAAACAGGGTTCCATGGAACCCTAGAGTTCCTCCAGAGGTTGCTAGAGGTTCCTTGAGCTGTTTCTATTGACCTCCCATTTGATGGTGTCTACATGGTTCCTGGGCCAACACCACTTGGCAGAGCCAGTAGAAACATGCCAATATTTCTTAGAAGCCATTCTCAACCAGGGTTCCATGGAACCCTAAATTTATTCAGATGTTGTTAGAGGTTTCTTGAGCTGTGTCCTATTGACCTCCCATTTGATGGTGCCTACATACCGTAGCTCTGGGACCAAAGCCTCTTGGCAAAGCTAGCAACAAGATGATCTTTCCTGTAAGGGTAGGATTCTGACCACCACTATAAGGAGGGTGTTCTTTCCATTGGCCAGCAAAGTAAGGGATATTTTTCCCTGAAATTTTTTTCTAAGGTTTCTGCTGTAACAAAAAGGTTGAGAAAGGCTGCTTTATAGTTTTTCCCTTTGCTGTCTAGATACAAGAGATGTGTATTCTTACTTGATTCTTGGTTTCCTTTGTGTATTTTTTTTCACATCTTTGCAATAATTAGGTAATAATGCGAACCTGTCACAAGCTATCTTACTAGCCTGCCTTACTCTTGCTCCCTTTACCATCCAGTTCACCTGAGAGAGCCCCAAATAGATAAATACCTGTGTACAGTTAGAGTCATGCTCTGCATTGTGGGAGAAAAAGGGAGGGGGTCCCATGCTTCCACATACCAGGAAGTACTCAGTGTTTTACAAAGCTCCAGATGAAGTTTGGGACAGAAGCAGAGATTGGCAAATGTATTTTCAACAGAAGGGATGTTAGGGACTATTAGGTGGACCTGTTACTTTGCCCTAAATGGGTCATTTTACTTTGCAGGAAGATTATTGGCCACATAGATGGTGCAGAATCCAAACAAACAACGTCCCAATGCATCTATGTCTGCAAAGGTTCCCATTTTTCCAGGTCATGGTATATCCCGTAGTAGTTCATCACATTCAACTGGACTTCTGTAATGGTTTGTAGCTTCATCAAGCCACTTATTCAGTTCCAGAACTGAGGAAACGGCTTGGATAAG